TCAAAAAAGTTTTTTCTCTATCTGTGTAATATGTAATTCAATTGTTTGTTCAATAAAATCTATTCATATATATATCTATGATCAAATTTAAAATTAAAAATTATATTCTATTTTGAGGGTGTGGGTGTGGACAATCTATTTTATTCATACCCACAGTCATATCCACACTCGTTCGGAAAAATTTAATTTAGAAATCTATAATTCAATTAAAAATACATTTCAGTTTTTGCTCCATTTATAGTTAATCTTATTTCAGCTTTTATTCTTATAAGAAAAAAATCTCGTCAACAATCAACTATTCAACAAAAACGAAATTTTAAAGATATTTTAAAACAAAAAATATCGAGAACATAAATATTTATTTATTGCATCTGTTATATTAGTTATTCTTGCTTTACCACGTTTAATTATTTCTTATATGTCAAAGTGTCTGTAATCAAGCAATGACTCCTGGTTATTTCTTACAGGATATTTTATTTAATTAATTCCAGCAATGCTTACTTTTATTGTATTTGTATTACCATCAAAATATTATAAAAAACAATTTCGTAAAACAATTGTTCAATATCGAACTACTATACAACGACGTTTACACATTTTATCATAAAAAAATGTATAAATATATCTGACTTTACCATTAATATTTATAGTTTTATCTTTTATCAATATATATGAACATTAATTATCTAAATAAACTATTTTATCGTCTTGTAGGGACTGACTTATTACCATTTGTTCTCATAACATTTTATGTTGAGGGTGAACGTGTATTGATAAAGAAGGAAGTCCACATTCTCATCTTCAAGAATGTTGACTAAAAATACAGGATGTAGGTCAGGGTTCCGAATAGAATTTAGAAGAAAAATGTTTCTGTACTATGTTTTTGAAAGCAGAGTGTAACAAAGTGTATAAATTGAATTTAATTGTAATCTTGAAATATAGAAAGTATTCATATTTTTTGCTAATGAAGAATGTAAAACAAATGCATACTGAATAATACTAAATACACAATTATGTAATCTGGCATGAATAGGAATATTTCTTTTATTACTCGTCAATATTAGTATCAATATCCATTTAAATCTAAACAGAAAAGAAATCAATTTATGGCTTAAAAAAAACAAAGTGTTAATTTTGTTCGCAGTGTACCGCGTATATTTTGTTTTCGCCAGCAACGTGTAAAACAGAGTGTAATTCAAAAGTCGCAAGTATTTCATCCGTTTTTCTTCTGCTGTGTACACTTACCATTCGGAACCCTGGTGTGAGTGGATAAGAAGAATAACCATATCCATCCACCCATACTCAAGATTGGCCTAGCAAAAGATTTAGGCGAAACTCAGATTCTAAAATGGACTAGTTCTAACCTAGGTCTTAAAATGGCCTACGACATAAATAAACGGCAAGGGCGTACCGACGCGGGGAACGCCTCCTGCTTTTGGAATTACTGATGTTACACTAAAGATTGTTGCAAGCGGAGAAAGTCCAGAAGTCACCATCTGTTAAATCCTTGTAAACGTTAGTTTTACTGCTCTAAAATTTACGACAAGTTTTCAAAAAATTTTAAAAAGCTCAAAAAAATCGTCGGACATCTCAACTTTTTTTGGATTTGACCTCTCTTGTTACATCCCCCTGCCTTGGGTGCACTGGTACACCTCTGTACGGATTAGTTACAATACCAATCTCTATAACATAATTCGTCGCTTCTATATAATGTACAGGCGAATACTAGCGGAGTTCAACCATCATCTTAATTTACTACATTCAATCACTACATATACGTGTTAAATAAAACTAAACAATGATATATACGACAGTTTAAAAAAAAATTTAATATATTCCATCTAATATCAATCTTAGTTTGACCTATTCATTTTTCTTTTCATTCGAATCAATTTGAAATTGACTGAGCAATGACCGCAATACATTCAAGTGCATATACATTCTTTTCCTTATTATTGTCAGAAAAAAACACGAGAAGACTATATGTTTTTTAGACGAACATTTTTTTTCTTTTCTCTTTCTCTATTATGATTACATGATATCGTCGACAATGGCGTACACGCAATGTTATATATTGAATGAAAACAAGGTAAGTTCAAACAGTTGAACAATGGAATCACTTCCAAATGAAATTGTTTTGATTATATTTAGCTATCTTAAAACATATGATATTGTCTATGCTTTCTATTTTCTTAAACATCGTTATGCCAATCTTATTGAAGAATTTCGATCATTTTCAACAACAATCGATCTTATTAATGCTCCTGTACCAATATTTAATTTATATTATTCATTATTATTTCAAACGTATCATATTGATACATCCTATGTTGAAAATCTTAAAATTGAATGTCGTATGTTAAATAAATTCATATTGAATGAAATTAATTTTCCAGAATTACAATCACTTTCAATAATTGTACGAAAAACTGATGAATTATCAATATTATTAAAATATTTTTCATTTTTTACAAAAATTAAACAACTTTATATTAGAAGTGATGTTTGTTGTTGTGATCGAATATCATTTGAAGAAAATGTTAAACAAAATATTTTTCAAACAAATAATACACAACTTCAATCATTAACATTTGCAACTCCACCATGTTATTCAATTTCATTACAAGATATTCAATTTGAACAATGTTTGTTCACTAATTTAACTGTAAGTTAAATCAATATTAACGAGAGGTTACACAATGAGTATATAGATAATTTGACAATGATAGTCTCCCCAGTGTAAATAATGTGATACGAACGCTCCAGAGATTTTATTATACAAGTTTATATATGTGACTATTGTTAACGGTGATTTAAAGCTTAACGATTACAGGTGCTATTCAAGTGGATGCTCTAATACTGTCATTTTCATGTGACAGATGATTACTTGATACTTACGACGATAGCTTATAAGTAATGACGTTAGTTTTATATAATGAGACACAATCATGTCAAGTTCTTTTATTTCGTCTGACGTCATACTCCTTTTATTTCAACTTCCGGTAATAGATGGAAAGGTTCGATTGTGTTTTTAAATATTTGTTATAATTATGATACGTTCGGAGTCAGCAAAATAACGATGATTATATATCATTTCATTCCTATGATTTGAAATTAAAGTCTTGTTCGGACTTAAAAGATTGAGCCAATAGTATGTGTAAACATTTGATTTTCTATTTTTAGCTTACAGTTCGTTCAATGAATGATTTCTGTGCAATTCTAAGTAGTGCTATTCATCTTCGTTCACTTCGTATTCGTGTCTTAGATGCCAATATTAATCATCAAAATCCATTAACAATAACTACATCACCGACACATTTAGAACAACTTTTATTTATATGTTTACATTCAATTTCTTATGAAATAGTAAAAAATGTATTTAAAACATTAAAACCATTGAAAAAATTAAGTTTTTCATTGGTTTTTGATATTCAATCAGGTATTATCGATGGTCATCGTCTTCGTGATGATATATTTATTCATCTAATTAATCTTGTAAATATACAATTTGAAATCAAATCATTAATATCTATGATGTCAAATGATTTAATTCGATCATTTGAAACACCATTTTGGTCTCGATTTTCTCCAATTGGTTTTCATTCATACAATCATATTTATACATTACCATTTCCATTTCATCATCTTGATCTTGATCAATCAATATTAAAACG